CACGCGGGGAGCAGAGGGTCTCCGCCGGCCCAGCCCCAAACTCACTGAAACCTGGGCGGGCCCCGGCGCAGCCGACGGCAGCCTTGCGAGGGTCTAGGCTGGAAGTTACTAACTTCTCCCCCAAAATCCCATTCCAAGAAGTGAGTAACTGGGTGAACTTAAAAGTCATCTGGGAAGTGCTGCAAGAAACCCTTGAAGAGCACCAATGGTGTGCTGACACGGGGATGAACAACTTGCCTCAGCTCTTCTTTTTAACGGCTGCGATAATTCTCATTTTTTAATTGATTTCAGTTCAGTTTGCAGCCCTTGCTTTTAGTTAGCACCAGCCTGCATTTTTTCAGTAGAGCTTTATTGATTTCCTTTTCCATGTGATCGCTCCACAACGCACGCGGCTGTTGAGAACCGTGCTCCCGGTCTGGAGGAGCTGACGTGGCCCCGAGCCTCAGCCCGCGGCCGACCCTGCTGCCCCCGGCTGCGGGCTGGGGGGGTTGTGGGCCGAACGCCGTGGTCGCCCTGACCCCGCGCGGTTCTGGCTGCTGAAAACTCCGCGTATCCAGCAAAGGAACGTCTCGTGTGTGCGCATGGAAGGGGTGAAGGGCGCTGAGCTCTGCTCATTTCGTTACAGTTCCGATGCAGCCTCAGGTTTGTCAGCAGCTTCTAATTACACCCAGACATGGGGGGGGCACATGGAGGTGGCACATGGCACAGCCTGGAATCAGTAGCCCTTTGCCCCCCATCCCCCTTTCCACGCTCCAAAACATCTGTTAAAAGTGACTTTTTTTAAAAAAAAAGCCAAACAATGTATTACTTTCCTTTGGTAGGGAGTGGCTGAAGCATTTTGGTTGAACGCTGCTAGAAAAAAAATAAAACCAGTCTGAGGCAAACAGCAGGGATATTTTTTTCTCTAAATCCTGAGCTCTTTCACATCCCCCCTTGGCCAGTGACCCGCCCCGCAGCGGCTCCCGGCTAACGCGCAGCAGCTCCCTCTTACCTTCGCCATGCTGCTGGTAGCCCCTGCCCCTCCTGCCCCCTTCCCCGGCTCCCAGAGAGCTTTTTCCTTGCTGATGATGCTGTTGAGGTTTTTATTTCTAACAGGCTGCGCTGCAGCCGTGCACGCCATTATCTGTAATTCTCGAGCCTGGTCCCTGTCCCTCTGTCTGACCGACCGATCGTTTTCCCTCGCTTTGATGTCAACTAATTGATGTAATCCAGAGAGTAATTTAGTTCCTTAAAATGATGAAATTAGATTTTGTATGATGTGTCTGGCATCTCCAACTTCCCTTCCTTGTTAGAATTTTGTTGTTGTATTTCCCTACCCCATAGGCTGTGAAACTCTGTGGGCAGAAGGAGCGTACCCTGCCGGGGGTGCGTGTGACTGACAGCTGGCTTTGGATTGAGGCTGGTCAGTGGGTTTTGGCAAGTCGGCCTCTGGAGCCCCCTGGCACCCCCCGGCTCCCGAGGAGGTGACAGAAGCCATTTCACTGAGCCCATGTCTGGAGTTGTTTGTCAAAGCGCGCGGGGAGCAGAGGTTTCCACAGCCCGCGCCTGACTGAGTCAAAATCAGGCAAAGGACTTTGCGAAGCAGTAAATGAGGCAGCTGTGCCCACACTTTTTGTTGTGCACCTGCAACAAAGTGGAGCTCAGCTTGCTTGACTTGAGATCAGATAATTTTAGAGTACTGTTTTAACTAACAGAGCCAACTTCCTAGCATGGTAATTACTTTGATCCTGGTTGGCACAGATGTATTTTTCATCTATTATTGCTTAATACTGGAACCTTTCTTTTTTTTTTACTTCCTCTGGTATCTGATGATAGCCTAATGAAAATTATTTTTTCCCCTACCTCATTAAATGCTAAAGGGCAATTCAATTTTCTCCGTAGCGTTCCCTCTCTCTTTAGATTTTCTTAATGTACTGCTCTGGCTAGCCTGATATGTTGTTCTTGTAATGATTATATCAAGGTCTTTTCAGCATAAAACTTAAGCTTATTTTGTAGCTCAAAGTAGAAGCCCACGGCTGGCGATGCCACAGCCCACACACCGCTGGGTCCTGGCTGCGTGACGCTGGCCGGGGCCGGCGAGGGCAGGGCTGGCAGGGGGGCTGGAAGCCAGGCTGGCCGGGTGGTTTCTGAGAGCGTGTCTATCTGTGCAAACAGCCGTCCCCACCATTTAGAGGTGTCCAGAACGTATTTATCAGAAAGAAATCTGTTCACCTTTGCCCCTCCTTTTTCGGCGGAGTGGAGCCGTTGCTGGGGTTGCCCAGAGGACCCGGCTGGTTTTCGCTCTCCGGGCCAGGCTCTGCCTTTCCCGGGGCTGTTTGGAGATCCCAGCCCGCAGCCGCCACTGAGATGCTCTGCACACCCGCAGCATCTGTGCTGGCCACCAGCTCTCCTGCCAAGCCCCCTCCCATGAGCCCACCCAGCCCAACTCACCGAGCACTGGTGCCGGCGGGAGGTCTCTGCCCAGGGAACCTCTCCAAACCCTGCGGCTCTTACCAGCACCCAGGTTTTTGCTGCTCTGCCTCATGAATAGATGAATTTCTGCCTCCCAGTTCACCCGTGGTATGCCCATCGTTGGTGAATATTCATTAAGTGAAATTAGCATTTATTAGGTCTTAATTAAGGTATAACAGGCTTGTTTGGTGGTAATGAAGTATATACTCTAGATGTGCCTGATGGCAGCTGGTGGCTCCCCTGCTCCTGCAGCCATCCCTGAGCAGGGTCTGGCCCCTCCGGCAGGGGCACAGGGACCTGAACCCCTTTTTTTCCCCACAGCTGTGAAGTCCCAGCTGTGAGGAGGTGTCTGCAGCCCAGGCAGGTGCTGAACATTCGCTCAGGGTTGCAAAGTTTCCTGAGGTGATGGCAGCAACGTCCTGTGCCCCTGCAGTGGTCTCAGATGTGTTGGGTATTTGGTGTCGGGGCTGTTTGGGCACCTGAGGCACGTGCTGGCGTTTTGTCCCTTGGCTGGGGGAGTGCAGCCCTTTCATCAGGGCTCCATGGCTGTCTGGCTGCTATGGGATGGGGATGGGCTTTGCTGGAATGTCCCTATGAATTTGCCTAGAAACTGTGAGGGAGGCACCAAAACCTGCCACGCTGAGAGCCAGCAGCGGGCTGGAGGAAGAGGTTGCACGGTGCGCTAATGAGAACTGACCCGAGCTGTTACCTTTTCCTTCTCAACTCATTTTTCACCGTTTTTCGGACTTAATTCAGTCCAGCGTGGGGAGGGGAAGCAGCGGCCGCGTGTCACCCTGGTGCGGGACCAGGCGTGTGTCGCCAGCGCTGCCGGCCGGGAGCTCGGCCCCGCTGCTCCCCGGGGCCGTGGCAGGAGGGAGCCTGGGGTCCAAGGAGGGAAAACACCTCGTGGAAGGGCTCCTGGCAGCAGCGGTGCTCGCCAAACGCGTTTCCTCCATTAGGATTCACTGTCGTCCTCAAATGCACACAGGCAGCAGGGGGAAGATGAGAACAGAAAAAGTAATTACAGGCGAGTGCAGAGCAAACAGAAAAGGAGAGCAGGAGCTGCCCTCCCGCCGGCCGGGAGAGCCCTCACGGGGGTGCGCTCCCCTCCCGGCGTCGCTGTGTTCCCGCCAGCCAGAAGCACCCTCAGCAGTTCCCTTCCACTGGGTTAATTTTTGGCCCTTCCAGCGGGAATAACCGTTTCTGTGTGCGGGAAGGGCAGAGGCGCGGGGCCGGCCCTTGCAGGGAGCCCTCGGCAGCGGCAGCGCAGGAAAGCCCTCGCCGAGCTGGAGCATCGCTGCAGTGAGGAGCTGCAGATCAATAGGGCTCACGGATGTGCTTTTCAGGAGCACGTGTGATCAGGGTTTTACAAAGGCTCAGTGCGTAATGCCTTTGCTAAAGCCAAGCAAATTATTAAAAAAATTTCCATTTAGCCACTATTGACTTCTTTCAGACAAGATACAGAACAGGTCTTGAAGCAAGTCTATAAATTAAATTTAGCCACACAGCTCACAGACTGAGAGACTCCTTCGTCATTGACAAGGCAGAGGAAGGAAGAGGTGAGGAGAGGCTTCCTGACTCCTGTGTTTCCACCAGTTTCTGTAAATGATATTCATCGTACTTCTGGTTGTGTAAGACGGAGGAATGGGCGAGCAGGGCCGTGGCTGTCAGCAGTGCAGCTCTTTAACGTTTTGCTGCCGTGAGCTTGCAAACCCCCTTCCATCAGGGTCTGCTCCCAAGGCCTGGGGGTTTGACATTGGCAGCAATGTGGGGGGGGGGGTTTGTTTGTTTTTTTGATGGGGACCTGCTTCTGGAGTGGTGGCAGCGAACAGCCACCTTGGACCCTGGTGAGAGGAAGGGATTCCCCATCGGCCTCACCCCCCCGCTGCCATGCGGGAGCTCTGTAGGAACCCTGGGCCAACGCTGACCTGGCTCTTCCCCCTCCCCGTTCCCTCCTCCTGCCCTTGCACCGCCGTCACGAGCGCCACAAGCGCCGGGGGGCAACACTGGCTGCAGGGCCCCTGTTTTCATGGTTGAGACCGGGGCTGTTTTGCTGGTCTGAACTTGCAAAGCTGAATTATGTATGCTTTTTTTGATCTGGATGGTGTTACCAATCTGCATGAGTTGGAAATGATAATTACTTTTTAGTGGGAAGATGGATGCTTCCAAATGACATTTAAATCCATGATTATTGCAGTGGTTTGGTCAGGGAACAGTTGTTCTCAACGCCAGCTCTTCCCCTTCGTCACGGATTACTGCGCCTGGGCAGGTCTCCAGCTGAAAAACAAAAAGCCGAGCCATGCGCTGCATGAATCAGGAAATAAATGAAGGGGTTCCCATCAGCGGCGGGGTATGCAAAGGAAGGACCGTGTTTCCCCAAAGCCTCTGGTGTGTGCGGGAGCAAACCCCCGGGCACGGGGAGGTGTCAGGACTTGTCCGCAGGGCACAGGGCCTGGGCGGCCGGGGGGGGACGGAGGCTGTTTCTGTGTGCGGGCGGGGGGCTCGGAGCTGTCGGTAACCCCGGGGCGCTCTCGTTTGTTCCCTTGCAGGTGAGCCCTCCCGGTGGTCCTCGTCCCACTGCGACTGCTGCTGCAAGAACGGCAAAGGTGACAAGGAGGGAGAGAGCGGCACGTCGTGCAACGAGCTGTCGACGTCGAGCTGCGACAGCCAGTCGGAGGCCAGCTCCCCCCAGGAGACCGTCATCTGCGGCCCTGTCACCCGCCAGCCCAACATACAGACTCTGGACCGGCCGGCCAAGAAGGGGCCGGTGCAGCTGCTGCAGCAGTCCGAGATCCGCAGGAAGAGCGACCTGCTCCGGACTCTCACCTCCGGCTCCAGGGAGTCCAACTCCAGCAAGAAAAAAGCGGTGAAGGAGAAGCTCTCCATTGAGGAGGAGCTAGAAAAATGTATCCAGGATTTCCTCAAGATCAAAATCCCAGACAGGTTTCCAGAAAGGAAACATCCCTGGCAATCCGAACTGCTGCGGAAGTACCACCTATAGGCTCAGGGTGGGGAAAGCACACGACCTATTACCATTAGAGCAAGATTCTAAGTGATATGAAAATAATTCCCGATAATAATTATTTGTTAGGTCACAAAAAAAAAAAAAATCCATCTCTATAGTACTGCCTAATTTGCCTATTTCACCTTAACATTTATAGTCATAGGGTAACGATATTTTTCCAGTGGTGGAAGCACAATGACAAATGCTTTTATTTGTAAACTCTGAGTCTTACACAAGCTGAGTACCTTAAGGGCACAACCAGAGCGACCCCAAGAGCTGCTGGCGTGCGGGTGCCGGCGGGGAGCCGGCCGGGAGCAGGCGGTGCCCGGGCTGTCCCTGGGCTGCATGCTGTCTGCCTTCCCCCTGCAGTGCGTTTGTTTGGAGGGATGCACCCGCTCAAAGAAACAAGCTATGCCATGACAGTTTACCTTAAGCATGTGTATATATATATGTGCATATATATATATATGTGTGTATATATATCTCTGTGTATATATATATGTATATATATATCAATATATATTGCTTAAAGAATTTCTGGCTCTCTCCTTATAACTGCACTTTCTCAGCAAAGAGCATTTTTTAGCAGTCTGTGGATGTTCTGTTTCTTCTTCAGGTCTTTGAGGGTTGAGCAGTAGAAAACCCATCTCACTGTCTCTCTCCCCGCTCCCTCTCTCCCCCCTCCCCTTCTCTGAGACACTGTAAATCCATTTCAGTGGAGCCCAGGGAACAGCGTGTGGGTCTTTGTTGCCGTCAGCAAAATATTCTGTTTGTTTTTGAAGATCTCGTTCCCTCCATGTCCTCCCCACGCCTCTTGTCGTGTTTCTCAAGGCTCTCCGGTGCCGGTGGGCTCAAGGCGTGACAGTCCCGGTTGGAAGCCGTAGGGGTTCCTCGCCGTGGCCGTGCCCAGGACGGCTGAGCTCCGCGGGCTCACCCGTGCCAGGAGCGTTTGGCCCCGGTGGCAGGGTGAGTGGGCGCCGTGTCCTGGCCAGTGCAGAAGCAAACAGGCCAGCCCTGCACTGATCAGAGCCAGGGGCCAGAGCCCGCGGCCCCCCAGGGAGGGGAATGGGGCTGTGGGGTGCAACAAGCTGTCCTTGCCGGGCGAGGCGTGAGCACGGCTGCCCGGAGTGGGGACGGCCCGGGAGCTGGGTGTTAGCAGGTGTCCAGGCGTAGGGCCAGCAAAACCTGGAGCAGGTACACGTGGGGCTAGGCTGGGCTCAGTGGGGCTGGTCTTGGGGGTGAGCTTGGGCTGCCGGGTGGGCGAGCCACAGAGTGACGGAAAAATGAATTGCTCCAGGCATAGCTGGGAACAAACCAGCTGGAGGATTTGAGATCAATTATTCATTTTCTATAGGCACAGGAAGAAGGAGATTTTATATGTATCTATATAAATATGGGAAGTGGTAGTGCTGGCAACACAAAGCATTTGATCCTGACTTAGCGTCCTGCAGGTTCCAGGGCTTCCCCCCTCTTAAAGCTGAGACTGCTGTGGGAGTTGATGTCAAGTACGCACAGATCAGTTCGGCTGATCTTTGTGTGGTTTCGGTGAGGTGGTGCCTTGGTGCTCGCAGGGCTCCCTTGTGCCCACGCACCCGCCTGTGGCGTCTGGGTTCTGCCAGAAGAACCGTTGGGTCTGCACGAGGACACGGGCAGAGGTTCATACCCCGCGCTCAGCTGCAGACCTTACGCGGGTGTTTGTTGGTGAGGGTGAAAATTTTACCAGCAAGAAAGGAAGCGATACCTGTCCGGAGTGACCCCGAAGTGTGAGCTGGCTGTAGGGGGGAACCCTCCCGGCCGCACATGCCAGCCTGTGGAGAGCAGGGCTGGGATGTGGCCGCTCGGTGTCATCTCTGCTGAGGCGCTGTTCTTAGGGGGAACACGCGGTGTCGGCAACGCGGAGCGAGGGTTGTGAAATAGAGGCTCTGACCTGGGGAAAGCTGGGCTCAGGGAGAAAACTCAGCACTTCTGGGATCAGGCTCTAGAACCAATTCAGGTTTTAAGACGTTCACTCACACTCAAGTGCGGGTTGGGCAGAACCTCTGCTCCCCTGCTCACACTTCATGTGGAAATCAACGTTTTGCACAAGATCCGCAGATCTGGCTCCTCTTAGTTATTTGTTGGTTCGTTTCTAATGTTTTTCTTTTCCCACTCAACATTTCCTGCATCTTGCCCCCCAGCTCTGGCACCCAGCAAACAAACCCAGGGAACAAACAGGGCTCTGCCTCGGGATTTCCAGCCGAGCGTGCGGTTCGGGGTGGATCACCCCTCTTCCTCAGCAGCAGACTGCAGCTAAAACCTTGTCCTTCCCACCACTCCAGATCATTCCCCACCTCTTTTTAATATCACAAATATTTGGGCTATAAAATACGTGTGACAGAGTGGGAGAACGGGCGCTGGGTGTGTGTGTGTGTGCGCGTGTGTGTTCCCAGACTGACGTTCAGGGTGCACGGGATTGCACGATGATTAATAACTGTAGAAAAATTAGACCAAATGAAATGCGCCCGGATGGGCTTGATTTATGTGGCCTTCAAGTCTTCAGTTTTAGATGAAATGGTGATTATTCTCCAGTGCTACACACAAAAAAAAAAAATAAATAAAAGGTCTTAAACTTCAGAACTTCAGTAATCACGGGCAGGCCAAGCCTGCTGGGAAGCACAATGCTCGCTGCTGGTCGGGACGGCGCTGGGGGGGGGAGCGGGTGCCCAGGCGTGTGTGTGCACACTCGTGGGTGTTCACGGCGCCTCCCGCTGCTGCAGGGACCCCCTTCTGCTCCATCGTCACGCTGCCCTCGTTGTGCAGGGTGGGTTGGTTTAACGGGGGCTCGGGGCTGTGCTGCGTGGCTTTTTGCTCTCAAGACTGGCTGGCAGGCTCGAGGTGCCGCGGCCTCTGTGGCAGAGGAGCCCCTGGGCGATGGGGGGAGCTGCCCACCCTCCCCGCGGGGGTTGGCCTCAGTGCCCAGCGCTGCACAGGAAGGTCCCTTCCTCTCCCTCCTTGCCTCGCTGCTGCTCTCTGGACCCCAGCGCCCCACGGCGAGAACCGCGCCCCACCAAAGAGCCACGCTTCGGGCACCTCGTTCTGCCACTGTCAGGTGGCCACAGGGCCACCACCAGGCACAGGACCACCACGGGCATGGGACCCTGCCTGCGGGCAGAGGGTGGAGGAACCTCGGCCAGGGGGAGACAGGCACGGGGGTGATTAAAGCGCTGTGCCACGGTGGCCCTGTGGTTCACCTGTGGGTGCCCGTGGGTCGGGAAAGAGCAACCAAGCCTTCTCCCGCTGGTGGGGTCTGTACAGGCACCCAAATGGTGATTTTTCTCATCACAGGAGGGTGATGTGTTAACTCTGGGAGAGCTTTTCCCCAAAGTAATGTCATGCACACATCCATATACATCTACACCTATAGAGAAGTACAGGTCCGTACACGGGCAGATACATCCGTGCGCCCCGGGGTGAGAGGCCCTTTGGGCCAGGTCGTTCCCCCCCGTCTGCAGGACGCGGCACCACTCGCTGTTAGAAGGGGCAGGAGAAATTCCTGCAAGAGGTGGGTGCCCAAACGGCACCTCGGAGCAGCCCCCGGCTCGGCAGCACCAGGAAAATGTGGCCAGTGCTCGGCACGTCGGGCACCTTCCCCCCTCCTCGGCTTCTCCCTGGGGCTGGGCAGGGGGGAGGCTGCAGCCCTCCTCTGCTCACCCACAGGAACAAGGCAACGAGGGAAAGAAGGGAGACAGCTGCAGTGCAGCGGGGGGACAAGAAATGGGAAAAACAGATTGTCGAGAAGGTAGCTGGGCTTTGAGCTTCAGAAATATTCAGCTCAATTCTATTTTGTTTCAGCGAGAGAACCCGTGTCTATCCCCAGGACATGTTTGGTCACTTATCGGTGGCAAACCAAAATGAAACTCGATTAACGGAGGACTTTATTCTTTCTAAAATATCTGGGGAGGAACTGTGCTTGGAGCTACTTTCCACGCATAACAAAGACCAAATATAAGTTCTGTTGAAACTAATTCGAAAACTCACATTGACTTCAGTGGGACTGAGACTCCCCTAAAACACCTTTTTCTCAAGAAAAATGGGCGCCTGCCTCAGTGAGGACGAGAGGAAGCCATTAAGCTGCAACAAAATTCCAAAGGCACTTAGGTTGCTCGCAGTGTTCATCACTTCCACACGTGGCAAACAGGTCTGGTCGTTGGGTGACGGCCTTGCACAGCCAGGCTTTAATTATCGGGGGCTGCTCAACCTTGCTTAACCTTCGCGTAGGACGCGGGGCCGGCGGAGCGCGGCAGGTGGATGAAGGGGCGAGCGCCTGGCCGGGGGGTGACCAGCCCCCCCGCAGCCCTGGGTGCAGGTGGGGCCCCGGGCACGGTCCTGGCTACGAGCGCTGCTGCCGCCTGGGCTCAGCTCAGCTGGACTCAGCTCAGCTGGGCTCGGCTCAGCTCCCATCACAGCTACACAGATCCCCGCTGGCCTTTACGCCTTTCGCGGCCAGAAATATGTTTTCCAAGGGGCCAAATGCCTCGAGACAGACACTTGAGCAGGACTCAAAGTGTCAGGGGGAGACAGACGGAGAACATTTGAGTTTACATAGACCCGTGGGGACCAATTATTTTTTTTTCCCTAAATAATCTGCACACACCCAATAGAGGCTTCACAGCACTCTGGAGAACGTTTTGGGGTTTTAATTCTAGTTTTGTGAGTCTGTTTATTAATTTTCTTTGCAAAGCCGTGGGCTGAAGGAGAAAACAAGGTTGATTTTTATTGGCAATGACCATAACGTAACCGAGACCTTCAGCCGTATCTCACACTGCGCTCCTAGCCCCAGAAAGGCTGGAGGAATCTTTCCGATGTCTTACCCTGCCCTGAAGCCCTTTCCACCATTGCGAGTATGCACGTGGACTTGACTTTCAGAGTACTTTATGCATAAGGCCCCATGTATATCATGGTACAAAATAATTGTCCAGTCTTATGGATAGCTTATGCCCCAACGGGGTTTTGTAGATTAATAGAAAAAGAACAAAAAAGCACTTTTAAATTATTTATATTATAAAAAGACATTCTTTATTTTTCTTGGCATCGATATCACTTAGCTAAAAAATCAGTTTATAAGTATGATATTACAGATTTTAAACTATAGCAATGATAAAGCAAACACGAAAAAGCGGAATTCAGAATTAAACAGACAAAACCTACCGACGCGAAGCAGAAGGTTGGCAAGGCCCGGCTGGTTGGGTGGGAATTGTTGGACTCAGGGGTCGGGGGGGATCCTCCCTGCCATCCCTTCGTGTGTCCGCCCCGGCCCCGAGGCGTGGGGGCGATGGGGGGCGGCCCCTTCCCCTGCTCGCAGGACGAGCTCCGCGGGCGCTCGGGTTGGGACAGACCCACCCGCCCCGGGGGAGCGAGGGCTGCCAGTGCAGTATCTTCCCAGCCAACACAGGATTTAGAGGGGGGTTTGGTGACGTTGTGATCTCTTCGGGGCCTTGCTCATGTTACATTTTCGGACCTCATACACGCACTTAATGACTTTGCTGAGGCTGAGTCAGTCTGTTGCACATTGATGTAGATTAAGTGGCACCCACTGAATTACCTCTCTACTTTCCAACGTGGTTCACTTGTACATAAGTGTAATGTCAAATTGTTTACAGGTTATTTTGTGCGTAATTGTGGAAAAAAAAAAAAAAAAGTTTTATCTACAAATTTAAAGGAATCGATTTTACTGGAAGGTGTTTAAAAAAAAAAAAAAATGAATGTGCTTAATACAGTATAGACATCATTGATTATGGTCTCACATGAATGCATGTATCTCCGTGTTGTCAGTCCCCACCAGTGAGGTTATTGGCAATATTCTGCAGTCTGTGAATAGCAAATATGCATAAACTACTGTGACTCTGACAAATATAACTCGGTGACTGTTTCTACTGTGGTATGTAAAAAAAAAAAAAAAAAAAAAAAAAAAAACGAAAACGACAAAAAAAAAAAGACAAAACAAAACAAAACCCAAACAAACATGTAGCTTTTAGCCTGCTGTATTTCCCTGGTACAAATAACAGCATGAAAGAAAGAGAGATGTTGGAAAAAAAACCCAAACAAGTCATAGCCGTGACCTGCGTGGAGTCATTTGTGCAATGGCACCTGCCAGGTAGCTGTGGGCCGACTGCCAAAAAAACGCCTATTTATAGAGGCTCGGAGGCGGCAAATGAAGGTGTTGCTGTTGCCTCCTGCTCCAGCATCGCTGCTGGCGGAAGAGATGACCTTTTGTTTGGGATGGTGATAAATGGAGAGAGCCACTCCCTGCTCATTGTTCCCACGTGCGGGTTGGTGTTACACAGTGTGCTGGTGAAAAGTGCAGCTATCGATGTCGTGGCACTGGGCGGCTGAAAACTGCAGCTAATTTGTGTCTTGCCGTGCAAATAAATCGGTGCATGTCCACTGTAAGAGCACAGACAAGAATAAATAAGTTGGTATCCTTCAGCTGTCTTATGTACACACACATAAATGTGTAGGTAGGTGCACCCTTGCTTTCCTCCCGCCGTGGTTTGGCATCGGTTCATGTTAACCAGTTCCCTGCAGGCTGGTGCTTGCTCTCCCTTGTAGGTGGTGGGTTTTGTGGGTTTTTTTTTTTTCCTCATTTATTTCTGGGTTAGACTGAAAAAATATCAGTTCAGTGGTCACAGGGTGAGATTCTCCTGCCGCCCTGTCTTGAACAGAGATTTTTCTGGTGCTGTGATTTGAACATGCTTCTGGGAAAACCACCATCGCATCAGGGCTCACCTGCCAGAGTATTTCCAAGAACACTTTGAAATGTTTTCATCCTCTGTCATTCTAAAGACGCCTTGGCAAGGGACGGCTTCGCCACAGCCAGTGCCTGAGTCACAAATGAAGTGCAGGGCAGGGCAGGAGGAGGAGGAGGGTGCAGAGGAAGGGCAGGACGTCTCTCCTGGCCAGGGAGAGGAGCCAGCTGCGCTGGCCCCCGCGTCACCCTCCCAGGCCGCTCCCAGGGTGCGCAGACGGTGCCCCCCGCGAGGCTTCCCGCCCCCCCGGTGCCTGCTGCAAAGAGAGAAGGGCTGGGGGGGGCAGGAGGAGGCCCTTGGCCACCCTCTCCCCCAGCGGTGCCGC